AAAAAAAAAAAAAAAAAAGCTGGCGCCTAAGCATGCATCTGAATGAGAAGAGGAGAACCAGTCACTGCAATGTTACCCCAGGGCAAAGCACCCTGAGTGATGTGATCCTGATGGGCTGATGCTGTACTATGCAGTGCTGGATTTCAATTAGGATGAAAGGTCGTATTTCATGAGGGTTTCCTTTGTAGACAGGTGCAGCTTTAAAGAAGGATGAAAAGAAGACTTGTGTATTCACAGAAGAGTGAATAAAAACTAAACATGTGACCCAATAGCTTTTACAAATCAGATGGGACTATTTTTGAAGGTATAATAGATTCCTCCAAAGGCTGCAGCAAAAGAACTAATATTAGTTTATAAAGTTCTTACTGAAGAGGACATGCTTGGCCAGGTTGTTGATGACATGTCGTCTAAAGAGTTCATCAGGGACCTCTCTGTCCATCTCCTCCTCCTCCTGCTCTTCAAACTGACCATCAGGCCTGAAGAACAACAAAGTTTGGTGCATGTCAATAACTTAGGATCATTTATTGCTATAATTCAATTCACACACTAATTCAGGCTATATAGTCATTACAGATAAGACTGATATATTTTAAGAATTTAAAATCAAAAGCAGGATCCTGGATGGCTGGACATGAAATACACAACAACAGAGAAAAAACGTTTGTATTCAGTGAGGAGGCACCATATATCAGCAGTCACACTCTGCCAACCTGATCCTGAGTTTCACCTTTCTTTATTTCCTTTCTCTGGCCTGTCTCAACCTGTCCAGACCAGCCATATCACTCACAGAATGGCTGAGTGATCGGAATGGCATGTGAATGCTAACTTGTACTCGATGCAATTTCTTATAGTGGTATAAACTGAAACAAATCCAAAGACTGAGTATGAGACTTCAGACTCAAGGAACATTCTGTTCAGCCGTTTCTGTTCTACTAAAACTGGACTGTTCTGAACTGGAATAACCTCTCCCAGTGGAAAGTTGAGGGCTGATCTCACATGTCGAATGACAGAGACCGCTGTGAAGCAGCAGGAGGGAGAAATTAGCTTTGGATATAAAGGTTGTCGCGCACAAGACGAAGGGACATCTGGTTTCTGAATAAACAAGGGGCGGATTAAAAACACCACCGTCGCTCTGAAAGACTCTGTGCCAAATATGGAAAGTGCCTTACTGTGCAGAAATGATGTATGGCATCAAGGCATTTTCGAGAGACACTGGTGGGGGAATATGACGGCTCCTCTGGGTGTCCAAGTACTCCTAAACACACCAAGAAGCAGATAGGCATAAGTCTTTGTAATACACATTATACGCTATAATCTTGAATTTGATGATTAGAAAGAAAAAAAAAAAATCAGACATTGTATTTGAAGCAAGCTCCTTAACAAATTTGTTACAAAACCTTTAATTAAAAAAAGGCTACTAATCAAAGCGTTCATTATGCCACGCAGCTTTGGAAACAAAACAAATCTGTAGCATTGTAATTCCTCCACCACACAAAATACTCACAAAGATTTTTTTTCTTTATTAACCCTTTATTTTAAGCCTGAAGGGTTTGTTGCTCAAAACCAATCTTAGTCTCACTAAGCAAAGCCCACATTTCCAGTCGAAATTTCAGCTGAGTTTGTTTCTTACATCCCTTGCATTTGTGATGTAAGAAACAAAAGATTTTGTTCTATCGCTGCATGCATTTCAAACAATGTCTATAGAGGCACATCGCTACAAAAGCATCTACAAAAATTAATTTATGACTAATCGAAAACCCCTTATCGCTTGATCATTGTTAAAATAATAGTTAATTATATAAAGAACTAGTGTTATTCATTTTAAGGAAACTACAAGGAGGTTAAAAAAATTTGACATGTATTCTGTCATATATAGAAATTTGTCTATAGGACAAATTGTGATGGCACTGCTGGCAATAAGGTTGGTACAAATCTAAAAGTAATCACCTTTAGGGAGAAGGGCTGGTTGAAATCCACTCGAACACAACCATAGTTCTTCCTTAGCATCCTAAATACCCCACAGGCTATCCCCCACCAACTCTCATTCTTCTTGGGTTTCCCCTGAGGAACAGAAAGGATAACACAATTAAAATCTGGATTTGGCAATTATAGCGGTAGTTATATCTTAATAAAGTATCTGGATAAAACCTGTCGTTGTCAAAGCAAGAAGCACAGAGATCATCCAAGAGCTTACCAGCTGCTCACTATTGTAGTTGCCTTCAATAATTCGGTCATATGAGATGCCAACTGGCACGACCAGCACGTCTCCGATTGCCCCTGTGTACAGCGTGTCGACCACGATGGACAGCATGCCTGCACGTGCTGAAAAGGGCTTACCGCTGCGGGACCGGGTACCCTCCAGAAAGACCTCCAAAAACTGCTGTTGCCTTAATAACTCCTCTGTGTACTGCAGGAGGATTGAAACAAAGGGCACATGGGAGAGGAGTGAGCCAAAGGTGAATGAAACAAAGCATCCATATAAAGTATTGTTAAAAGCTTATGTTTATTTATTTAAAGTAGCAAATTAACCCCATGCTAATGTGGAAGCTGAGTGTAAAGAATAGATTTATGTGATATAGTTTAGTGTTTGAATATAAGAAAAATAAACACTAAACGGAACGATTTCACTCTTTGCAGCGACTCCGGCACGTTCAGGAAGCAGATAGACAGCATAAAAATATCCCTCTGGGTTTAGTATAGACACAGCTGTCTTCAAAGAAGGGAATTTGCTTCCTGAAATATAACGCATATAAGGTCATCAAGTTCGAATTGCAAAGAGAAAGAACATCCAGGCTCTAAGTTAGCCATTTTTTCTCCTCACTGCCTATATTTCACCCCTTCAAAGAAATTAAATGCTTACATTTCAACATGCCTTAAACCAAAAACTTATCTGCCTGATAACATTTCAAATGATGACCTGCTGAAACATTGCATAAAAAAATAGTCATGTAACAGAAAGAAAAAAAAACTGGAGCTCATCATTTTCTGCAGCTGCTTATGTGTCTTATAGATAACTCTTATCTAAGAGATAACATGTACCATTAGCTCGGCTGGCCTTTTTAAACATAACCATTTGCCAGTTCAGCTACGATTAACTCAAACAATTGAGTAAATCAGCTCTATATCGGGATCTTACAATGTACCATCAAAGTACTTAGACCCCTTGAATGTATTGATTTTCTTCCCCTTGCAATGATGAAAAGATGATGAAAAGGATTTTATTTTAGACAATTTGAATAATAAATAAATCAATTAAAAAAAAAATACTTCAAACAAAAAACAACCACATACACACAAAAAGAGATTGGTTAACATTTAATTAATTCAATTAATTTGAATATAAATTAAAAATAATTTGAACATAATTAGAAACAACATTTTCCACTAAATAAACTACTCAGTATATATAGTCAGAGAACTGATATTGATTAATGTAAATTATAAATAGTAAATATCAATTCCAGTGTATTTCATTTGTAAACAAACAAAAAGCAGAACTTAATTGCAAAGTTCAGGCAATGGACTTATTTTAGCTAATTATTTGTAAAATAGCTTTAGTTGTTTCCGGTTAAAGAGGGAGAATAAAAAAAATCCCAAGTTTTTAAGTCTTGTCACAGTTCTCTTCAATAAATATAGGCCTGGACTTTGACTAGGTGACTTTGCTACATGAATGTTTGAATCTAAGTCTTATATTCCGGGATTTTCTTGGAGTTAGTTCAATTCATATTCTCATCCGCTTTCAACAGACCGTATATCCCTGTAGACAAGAATCCCCAAAGCATGATGCACCTACCACTGTGGGTTACCACGGGGATGATGATGCAGGTATGTAATGCAGTGACCAGAGAACCTTCGTCCATATTTGGCTTGGCAGCAAACTACTTCTTTTTCACTTCCTCTTCTCAATAAAGATAACATTTTTGGAATTACCACTAATATTCATCCTGCATCTCTGATGCTTGTTTCTGTTCTCAGATTGAGGCTTTATCTACTCTTTACTGCATTGAAAACATTGCAGAATTTTTTATTAACAATTAAGCAATAATTTGTGTCTGGATGATGCATAAATTCCTGCTCAGATTAGGGCCGGGCAGTCAATCTATATCAGCATATATTAGGTGTGTATAGGACAGACATCTGATCAATAACAAATAAAATATGTCGGATAAAGTGTTTCAAAAAAATTTCAATGAACTTCGATCCAGAACCACATGGTATCCTCAGGGATAGAGGGATTAGCCTCTCACAGGCAATCTAAGCCAGGCTGGTAGTAGGGCCAACCTATTTTAAAGGTTAAAGGTCATGTTGAAATAGGGTAAGGGTTGCAATCTAAACTCAGGCCTTTTTCCTCAGGTCCTTACTCCAAATAAGTAAACAAATAAAAAAATCTATAATTATTGACATGACAGGCTTATGTCCTTTTTCAGCCATATTACACAGCTCTAACTTAAATATAGCAATGCTTTTAGACACTGAAGTTTGTAGTTGGAATGTGAATAAAATGCAAAAAAAATGTTTACTCAACTTTGAGCCACACTTGTTTAAAGCTACTTAAAGCACTAAAAAAGTTTTTTTTTCCACATTGCTGTCCTTTACTATAGTACTCAAACTGGTTTTCTGAGCAGCAGAAACCTGCTAATCAGTACTATCTGACTGAACAAAAATTCTTCCCCTTCAGGCTCTGGTTTAACTGGTCTCTCTTATTTCTTAGAAAGCTTATTGATCCTGAAGGCACAAATCCAGACACTAAAAAGCTGAAACCTTTAAATGTTTCAAACAGGCTGACCTAAAGAAGCTTTGAAGCTTCTAAACATACAATAGATAAAAAAATGCTAGATAACAAAATGTCAGAAGATGCAAAACTCCTCCCTTGATTGGTCAAAAACCAGGATCAAGTTTACTAAAATAAAGATCAGAGACATTTTCAGATGTCAGAGGTGTTGCTCATACTGCAAACGTAAAACAATATATATTTTTTTTATAAGATTTAAATATGAATAAACTAAAAGTGCAGGTTGTGTGTTGAGATAATATCAAATGTTTAATCTCTCATTAATGCATACTAAAAAGTGCTCCATACACAGAAGCATAAACAACAGCTTTCATGTGTGAAAAGAAAAAGGACTTACGGCATGGAGGAGCGACCTGTACAAAATGTCTTTCTTTCCATCCCTCGTCTCCTCCATTCTCCGCCGTATGAAAAATCCACCAAGTTTACGGATCACAGTGCTGGAAACAAAGGGACATTTTGCTAATTACTCCAACTTAATCTTTTTACTCACCAAGAGTCTTTCTATTAGATCAACCTGTGTGTGAGGCTCTGCAGCCATTCACCTGAGGATTGGGATGCTGAGGTTGTTTCCCGCTGCGATGTGGGGGGCTTTGATGTTATGACAGAACAGAATCAGTGTGATGAGTAGGTAATCAATGTGGGATTTGTGCACCGGCAGAAAGACCATGGGTAGTTTTTTCTGCAAAGAAAAGAACAGATTCTCTGTAGACAAAACAATATGAAGAGGTTTTAATCTGTTTGCATTGAATCTTGAGCAGTTACCACAAATAAAGAATGAAAAAAGAAGTTGAAGGAAAATTACACAGATAAGACGCAATTGAAGCAGTCGCATTAGTGAGACACTGGTTGCTATATAAGTCTGGACGCAAAATGCACACTTCTGCAGAGATTTCTGAGTTCACCGTGTGGGTGGATAATAGACACGCAGATTAAACGAGATGTAGAAACAAAGGGACAAATGAAAGCATATTCAAACATGGATTAGTCCAAGTTCACTCATAGATATGGATGAATAGACAGGGTTAGAAAGCTGGAAGAACTGATGAATGAAAAACCAGGTGAAAGATGAAAGGAGATAATTTATCGTCTCTCTAAGGACACTTGTTTTTCTTGAACATTATGTGCCCGTTCTGAGATGGCTGTCTCAATGGATTTATAATGATAATAAAAGCTTCATAAGGAAGAGTAAATCTACACATCAGCAACTAAGTCAATGAAGCAATTCTTGTCTTTTTGTTAAGTCATAAACCATAATGATTTTAATGACATGTCTGTGGTGTTAATGCTAACCTCTGAGGCAGCTTTCTTGACCATTTCAAGCTGTCCTTTGTGGATCTGGATGCTCCAAAAGAAACCATTAAACAACCTCAGAAGAACCCACCCTGTCAGCCTGAAAGAAGAAAAACAAAAAATAGTTTTATATCCATGGTGAAACCAATCTACTAAATGAAGATATTGAATCCTTGGATAGTGAGGATTTCTTTTTTCTTTTTCTTTTAAACTGAATGATCCAGGAACCTAATAAATGCTGGGGAAACATTGGCCACCATCTCTTGGAGGAAGGCTCTGGCTTTCTGCTTCACTTTACTGACAGCCTTATGCTCATGGCCAGGCTGTCCTACCACAGCATCCGCCTCAGTTGCAACCTTCAAAATAGCAGCTTCCACCCTGCAGATAACAATAACAAATATATATATTAAAAAAACATGCTAAAAGCAGTTATTATTACTCTCCTTTCTCTATACATAACAGTTAACTGTTACACAACTAGATGGCTCATTTGACTTTCCCTATGCAGCGTTCACAAAAACAAAGGTTACATCCCAGTAAAGGGTTACATTGACTCCTACCTGCTGCTGTTGAGCACATTGTCGACCACGTTCCTGGTAAACATGTCCTTGTTGACGTCTCTCTCCGTAACAAACAGCACATAACTGAGCCTACGTGCCAACCAGCCCCGCTGCCTACAACATCAGACCAAAAAACAAGAAAAAAAAACACTTTTTATCCTCATCATGTTGAAAATACATACAGAAATATCAGAGTGTTTACATTAGCTGAAGCAATCAATAACTAGAATTCAGTGATGTCAGAAAATGCAATAGCTTTACTGATATCCTCTTATTTTCAGGTTACTGTGTGTGCCACCACCATATACAGTCAAAACTAACACTACCAACATTTTTATTTAAGACTGACTGAAGTCTATCTTCATCTGATAAATCTAACAGCACACCCATACCTACTGACATTAAATAACAGCTATTATTTACTTGAATAGAATGTACATTTTTTTGCTATTCTGAAAAAAGGAAAGCTATTTTTTTTTCCCACAACTGTTTGTCATTCAAATGTATATATTTAAAGTAAAAGAGAAACTGTCCTAGCTGCAGTTGCTCTGTCAATGTTGGAGACAGAACCCTCAAAATGTGAGCCATTTAAAGCATAGCATAAACTTTAGGATGCAGGGAGACTTTTTGACTCTGTTGATTAACCTGAACCAGTACGGTTATTTCTGTATGAGCCAAACAATGAATAAGTCATACAAAATGCTACACTTGCTATTGTTAGCCTAGGATTTTAGCATTTCATCAAATTTCAATGTAGAAGCAGAGGTTTATTGAAGAATGCAGCTTGCGTTTCTCAAATTAAATGTACCTTTAGAATTAAAATGATAAACCTGCATCCTAAGTGAAGAGTTATCAGAGCAATATGGTTGTTTTTTTTAACAAAGCTAACTCTGAGTTGAAGCAGCTTATGTATAGAGTATGCTACAAGGGAGCTTCTAATGTTGCATAAGTGTAAATATAAATCAAGATAATAAAAGATGCATAGACCTGTGTTAGGTTTTCGTTTGTTTGCAGTTTACAGATCGATAAAAAAATATCTTATAGATGTAAAATAGTAAAGTTTTATTTTACTGTATTTACACTAACCATTTTCCTGTTTAAGATTATGTTCGTCTCAATTTTCAACGTGGATGCATGTACAGTGTCAACTGACAAACACTTTAAATTATTAATCAAACCGCCTTTCCGTTGCGTCACAGATCAGGCCGTTCGACTTAAAGCTATTCATTATATACATTGCTTAGAAGCAAAGTGTTTGCCTGACTTTATAATTCAAAGGAGAAACAAGGCCTAAAGACATCAAAAGTCCCCAGTTTCATTTCTTATATCGCAGTTAGTTTGTTCTTCTTTCTGCAGTTTAGGGCTGTTATAAATAGAGGTTTGTGTAGATGTGACTTTGCATACTAATAAAGGGGAAGATCCTCTTCTGTTTACCTAGTGTGGGTCTCATTGATGTAGATGACGTTACGTAGGCCCAGAGATGGGATGCTGGGGTTGAACAACTGTTCCTACAGGAGGAAAAACATGGATATGATTTGAATTATTATAACTTTAATTGGTTATATTGGTCTCATATCCTAAAGTCAGACTGAAAATAAACATGCTAAAATTTCTGTGGCCTTTATGTTATGTAACACAACCAAAAACATACAAGTATCTTGTTTTTTAATTTAGAGTAGACACTTACTGTGAAGGGGGAAAAAAAACATAATACCTGTTAATCTACATTTTTTACCATTGAGGCAGGCTCTACCATTCCAATGTAGCTGTGATTAAATTTTTAATTGACCTGCTTCAATCACAACCTCTGCACCATCCTTTAAGTTTTCGTTTTTTCTTCTCATGTGTGATTTTTCCTCAATAAGTTTGCAGCAAACCTCAAACATCTTAGCAATTTTCTTGCCACTCTTTCATAAAATAAATGCAAACCTGTAAGATTTTGCTCCCTATTAAATCTTTTATTGGTGTAATTTTAAGGTATCTTTTGCTTTAGAAATAATAAAAACAGCTGATTGAATAAAAATAGCTCCCAAAAAACTGATCCCTTTATGACACAGGAAGAAATAAAAGAATTGCTTCGAATTAAAATTTCAGTTTTTATATTATAGAACAAAATGGCCACCTGATTTTATATTTAATAAAAACAGGATGTGGGTACTTTTACCACATACTGGCTGCCCCTTAGGTTCTGTTAAGTCTTCCGCATGTCTGACTTACAGATGCAGCAGGAAACACACATTTCTTTGCAAATATCCAACATAACACATTGAAGAAACATGAAAAAAAGTCAAGTTAAGTGAGTAACTACTGTTGGTACTAATCCGTCACTTAAGAATTTCTTTTTTACCTCTAGGAAAGACCAAAGAATTTTTTACAATACTAAAATATGTTTCATTTTTAAAGCAACTGGCCACTTTCTGTCTTAAATGTGATTAATTTGAGGTAATGAAGGAAAAGGCAGCTGTCGAGGATCTTTACCCAGCTCTGAGGAGTACAGGAGTGACAGCACCGGCCGACAAATGGCCTCTTTCTGTTCAGCAGGCCCTCCTTCCACGTCCTGGCAACAGAGCGCAGAACTGATGGACTGGTGCTGCGGTCCTTGAAAAACAGCCACACAGAAATCTTTGTAAGGATGAACGCAGAACACATAAAAAGACTCTTTGAAGGATCACATTACAAAAGTTTGGTCTGACAAATCTGTGATTCTATTCAAAGGTATGATAAGAGCTTACGACATCTTCATTGGGATGTTTCCAGCGGTTGCACCACTGCTCTCCGTTGCCGACCTGCAGCAACAAGCCGTCAGAGAGCTCCATCCTCGCCGCTGCCCCTCTCACTCCTTATGGATCACGCACGCAGCAGATGCTGGCAGGCTGGGGAGATTCCATAAACATTTTATAACTCTGATCAAATGATATTTCAGCCACTTTAGATCAGTCTTTACTAAATAAATTCTTCTTCGATCCAATAACGATACGATTGCTCATAATTCTGATTTTTTTTCTACATTGCCTTTTAAAATATATTTTTACCGCTTTAAATTTTTCAAACTTTGTTAAATTACAACTATAGATTTTTGATAATGTTTGCAGGAATTTTACTAAAAGATTCATAAAAATAAAAAAAAATAATAATAATAAGACAGGAATGGGATCAGCTTCCAGGTAGACAAAAACAATCCCAACCATACAGTCAGAGCGACAACACCAAGATTTTAATTTGGCCACATTTAAATGTATTTTTTGTTAATCAGTGGAAAGACTACATAGATAGCATGCAATAAAGGGTTTGGTTTAGAGCTGCAACAATTAATTGGATTAATTGTGACTAATCCATTATTGAAATAATCATCAACTAATTTAGTATAAAACTGTAAAAACAAATGTGTAAACATTTGTATTTAAGATAAAAATGTTTTTTGTCTTTCAATGTGCTCTAAGCAGAACTCCTCAAGTTCAAAATCTTAATTTTCACTTGATTTCATTTTACAAAATGTCTTCTTTTACCAACCTTTTATTATCCAATTATTAATCGGAAATAAAAATGTATCGACACATGAATCAATTTGCAAAATAATCGCTAGTTATAGCCCTATTGTGGTTATAAATAAAGTTTAAAGGACACAGTTCAACTAATTATAGCGTGAGGAACTGTAGGTACAATTATAAGAGTGGCGGCATAGTGGTTAGCGAGCAGGGTGGTCGTGTGTGTACTGGACAGGCCACAAGAGTGCAGGTTGGAAACTCAGATTCTCCCTCTGGGCCCATCGACAAGAACCTTAAAAGATTGTATGGCTGAAACGATTCATTGCATTAATTGTGATTAATCGAGTCATTTAGCAATTGAATGAAACCGTTATCTAGAATAATGGCACACAGACACTAAAACAAACGATTTGCTGAAAAAATAAAGATCTACTTACAGCAGTATTTAAGACAAACCTCCAAATATAAGATATATAGCGATTAAATTGTTTCTCTGCTCATATATTTATACAACTAAATGCATCAAAAAATATGTCTGTCACATATTTTACCATTTGCAATTCATTATAAGTTCAAGAAAGTTTTTTCTTTTCCTTATTCTAAATATTAGTTTATTCAAAAAACGTGAATCTACTCAAAGTATCTCGATTAATTGAAAAACTAATCGATAGATTAATCAATTGCTAAAACAATTTATAGATGCATCCTAAATAGGTTTTCCTAGGCAACTATTAGCTTTTTTATTTTATATATAAAGAAAACTATCTAAACTGAAATGTAACAGCATTTACACACCCAATATATCCATTGGTATATGATGCAATAATTACAAACAGCTTCATAATTATAGTTTGGATTCTAACCAAAAGAAATACGTCACCAGGATTCTAAAGAGAGCAGTAGGTAGCATAAAGATTAACAGGAAATAGGTGACTTTATGAATGAATGCTGAGGTACAAAACATTATACAGTAGAGGGAGTGTGGTCAGAGGGTTGATGCAGACCCATCTTTCTGTGAATTATGTCTGAGAGAGGAGGTGGGATAATGCAGACCTCACTGCTAAACTGTGCCTCTTTCACATTGTCATGCAATGGATCAACAGCATTCTGAGTCCTTTTAAGGCTCCTAGTGACTGATGCATATGCAGATAAGGGAAACAGGATTTCTAACAGGGCTAGTGACCGAGAGTAGTCCCATTGATGGGGTGAGTTTACTGGCAAACCAGAGAATTGCTGAAAAATCCGGATTAGGTAACAAGTAAAAGCTGCCCTGAAGAATCAAGAGTTTACAGGAGACAGCAGACATTTGCACAAGAGGAAACAGCAAAACGCTCAATGTAGATCAGCATGCAGGATTTGGAAGGACAAATGATATGAACTGCTTCCTGCTTCACCCAAAACAGTAATTATGAGGAAAAATCTATAAACTGCGACACGCCTAACTGAAATAACTGATATGTGATGTCAGCAACTGAGTGCATGCAGACAGGGACACACAATGTAAATAACAGTCTCTGCTCACGACCTGGTTAATCCGTCTCACACTGTCTGCAATAAGCAGGTCAAACAGTAGAGGTCTTTGTGACAGATGGGCAGTGCGGATGATTACTGGAGCAGACAACAATGCAGAAGGATTTATTTTTATGTATGTTGAATCTAGCCTTCGCCCCCTTTAGATAGAAAACTCAAGTAGGAACAGAGTTATTAATACATCAGTCCAGTTCCTGCTGTCTCTCTGCAAGGCATCCTGCTGCTAAGCTTCTTCAGGAAAATATTAAAGCTTTATCTCGTTTAGCTGGAGGTAAATGGAGCAGGGAAAATAGAAGAATTGGATTAAGTCATGTCTGAAAAAGAAATAAAATGGGAATTTGTTTTGTCTATAATGATAATGGCACTGTAAAGTCTAAAAACGGTACATTACAGCGGTGTAGTTAGAGCCGTTGGTACAGTGCTGGTAGTGTCCGGGTGACACGAGCCGCTCCACTATCTCTGCACTGTAGCCGCTAGCATCAAGGTTAGCTACAACAAAACATGCTAGCGACAGCAAAAATAACGTCTTACCTTGATTATTGTCTTATGGTGAGTCATGTTTCAAAAAGTAAGCTCGTAGAACAACGCAAACCGGCATATTGCTAAGTGTTTAACAGCTTTAGCATTTGTCCCACGAGCTCTAGAAGAGGACAGCGCAGCAGTCCTCTGACGGGCAGAGATGTATGACAAGAGACAGGCGCACTCCATAGGCTGGCTGTCCTACGTTTCCGCTGGTAACCAGTAGAGGTCAGCACTGTGCCAGAAACAAGATTTTTCCCAGAGAAAGAGAGAGAGAGAGAGAGAGAGAGAGAGAGAGAGAGAGAGAGAGAGAGAGAGTAAGGAAGAGGATTAGGGCCATTGAAAAAATTAAAAAGGTAACTGATTTTGAAATGTTATCTCAGTATAATATGAGAAAAAAGTCAGAATTGTGAATTTAATCTCAGAATTCAGACTTTTTTCTAAGAATTAGGACTTTGATCTCAGAATTCTTACTTTAATCTCATAATTCTGACTTTTTTTTTCAGAATACTAAATTTTAATATCAGAATTCTGACTTCAATCTCAGAACTCTGACTTTAATCTCAGAATTCTGACTTTTTTCTCAGAATTCTTACTTTTTTCTCGGAATTCTGACTTTAATCTCATAATTCTGACCTTTTTTTTTTTTTTTTCCAGAATTCTGGCTTTAATATAGGAATTCTGACTTCAATGTTCAATTTTGTCATTTTTCACCAATGTGTTACTGGCCCTCTCACACAACTCACATCTTTGTCAGTGAAGCTGAGTGCTCCCACATCTCTTCCTTCTGGTGCCCATCTACATTAAGATCCAAAATTCTGAGATTAAAGTCAGAATTCTGAGATTAAAGTCAGAATTCTTAGAAAAAGTCAGAATTCTGAGAAAAAGAGAGAGAGAGGTGCGTTCAAAAAGGTAAGGAGTAATGCAATTTTCTTTTCAAAATCATTAATAAAACAAATTAAGGCGTTGATTCAAGGGTGTCAATCTAAATATAAAATATATCTGACGTTATAAATAATGTGAATGTCATGTGAAAATTAAAACGAAGATTTTGTGTTTGCAATATTCTTTAATGTAAAGCATTTTTATTATCACATATTTTTTTTTAAATTCCCATCGTTTTTGTATCTAGACGAATCCAGAGATTTGTTTTAACTGCTTTATTAATTTTTTTAAATGTCTTTAAATTATGGACATGTGCCATACTATTTCCACTTAGGTGTGTAAAGTTGTATTTGTTCAATGATGTTTTCTAACAAACCTCTGAGACATTTATAAAACATCTGAGATTACATCATAAAAAGGTTGCTCTTGTATAATAATTAAGTTAAATAATGCACTGTTTCCCCTCACCTTAATCAAAAAAGAGATTGAGGATATTTTTATCCATAAAATAGGCTCAGGAAAAGTTTATTTCTCAAAGCAACAAAGACAAACACTAAAGTATCACACATTGTATTTCGATATTAGTATCATCATTGTAAAAATGAAAAATTCTGAAATAGAGTGGAAAAATAAATCTATATATTAAAAATGATAGTCACATACAGTCATAGCTGTATAGATTCCACTGTGCTGCCCTATATTGACACCTGCTGGATATTACACACCATTGCAGGCTACTTAGTAGAAACGCTACTGAGATCAAATATAAATACTGAATCTACCTATATCTCAAACTGAGTCTATAGGTTTAAATAATATTTTAGATATTTTCATTTTAAAGTATCAGTAAAAATTATTAATAAATAATGTGAATGTGTCATTAGATGAAAATTAAAGCAAAAGTTTTTTGAGCTTAAAGAAGCAAATTGGTAATCTGGTAATTAAACCAAATGTTAATGATACAAAATAATTCAAGATGGTTAACAGTAAAGGGCTAGAGGAATAGTTGATAAATATACTGATTTGAAAATATACCAAAAGTGATATGCAAAAAAGGGGATAGTAGGAGAGTGTGGCTTATTTAATTGTTAAATAAAGCATCAAACCTGTGTGTAATATTTTTGAATAAACAGTTATAATAATATAATAAAGCTGATGGAACAAATACAATAATATTAAATAGGGTATAAATAAATCATAGTTGGAATAAAACTATTAGACAGAGTATAGATCAATTATAGTTGGTAGAAAACAGTATATCAGAATAATATTTTTGGTAGAAAACAGTAATTGTGTTTCACACTCCATACCAGTAGGTGGCGGTAATTAGACATCACAAAGCTGAAAACTGCATGCGCATGCGTCGGCGCATTGGTGTTGCCAGACCCGTCTCTACCATAGATATCCATAATCCATTATTATGGATATCTATGGTCTCTACAGTGTCCACTTGGTCCATTTCCATCGTGTTTAGCGAGTAAACGGTAGTCATGAGGTAAGGCAGTTGTTTTTACCTTCATGTTCGCTGTTAAACTTCTCTTTTAAATTAAATGTTGGTTTTTCATGATTACATATTGACTTAATGTTTTGTACAGTTTCGGTAAATGTGATACCTTTATATTGCAAGCTTTTAGGCCTCTACCTCAAAGCTAACTATGCTAACCGGTGGCTGGACATGTCAGGACATGTTACAGGAGCGCACCGTTTAGCTGCAATTAGAAACACTTGACAATACCTACTTTATCAGTGTCAGGTAAATTAGCATAATACATTAAAACAGTTTTATATTTTGAAAGGCGATAATTAAATTTAAAAAAACAAGCGGCAGTCATACATATTGTTTTCTTACTTACACGTTTAACTTGAAGTTTACAGGCTGGGTTAAGTTTTATATCTCAATAAACAAGCACAAAACACGCCTCAAAATATGGTTATACATTGGTTATGTCATTTTAATGATAGTCATAAGGCTGTCTCAATCCACCAGAGAAATAAACTAATTTAGCTGCATGTTTATATCAGCTAACCTGTCTGAATATAAATTACCGTAATATCCATATGTCATTGTCAGTTTTATAATAAACCCCACTAGTGTTACCATCTCTCAATATGTTCACCATGACTTTAGTGTTGTTTTTCAGTTACCTCTACTGTGTTAAAGCATATTGCTGATATAAAGAACAGTTCCATAATCCGAAAAGGCTACTATAGAGGTTTTATATGGAAAAACATGTTTCTTAATTATAAACAGTGGTGTAGAATAGAGTATATTAGTACAGCTGTGAAGTACACCTGTAATAATTTATCCCTATTGTTGTGTGATTTAAAGAAAAGCATTGGTTCTAGGTCTGAAACAATTAAAAATGATTAAACGATTATTGAAATAATCAACTATTTTAGTAATCGACTAATCGGTAACTGCTGTATAGGAACTGTAAAACATGTCATTAGCTGTAAGAGCAACGTAGAGCAGAGATTATAAAAAATAAAAAATAAAATATATAACATTTTGCATTCAAGATTTTTTTTTGCGTCAATCAATATGTTCAGTCCAAATAATCATTAGTTGCAGCCCTAATTGGTTCTATCCATTAACCATTTATTGTCAATTAGTTAATAATAAATGGTTATCAACACCCATCTATTGATCCAGAACACTTTTCTGATAATCTATCTGTTCATGAGTCTCATCCATCCATCAGTTTGTCAGACCCTTCTTTTTTTAAATGACCACATTGGGGCGGACATAATTCAATGTTAATTGCAAAATTATTTTATTTAACAATGACATTTATATTTTAAAACACATTGCAGTCTATGATTACAGGATTTGTCATTGACTGCTGTTTTTGGTTTTATGTAGTGTTCTGTTATTTTCTTATTTAAGGGAAAACGCCTTTTTTTTTTTTTTGTTTTTTACATATGGCCCTTGATTTTACATTATTACATGTTCTACTCACCCGTATGAGTTTTGTGTCATTTGGAGCTGTTCTGAAGATAATCCGTTATATCCAAGTAACGTCTTCCTATGGGTGAATGACTTGAAGGCACAAACTAAACTATCTTCAGAACAGCTCCAAATGACAAAAAACTCATTTGGGTGAGTAGAACATGATGTACTAACGTCAAATCAAGGGCCAAATGTAAAGAAACAGCGTTTTCCCTCTACGGTTTTAAAAAGGTTAGGGTGCTGGAAACTAACAATGTTCTGAAGGCAAACAAAACATTTCTGCACACTTGTAAATGTGCAATATTTAAATCTTTTCTTAACTTATAAAAGAGAAAAAATTCACAGATAAGCGTGTGTAAATCTTTTGTCTGCCTCAAAGCAGATATTTCTTAAAGGGTTGATAGTTTTTTAAACATGGCAAAAAAATTATCACACTTTTGTACAGGGTTCTTCGTGGCCATTCTTTCAGAAGCCTTTGTTTTGTTTATATCAGTATGAAAATTACAAAAATATTTATTAGCTGAGATTAAGAAATATAGCATAGTATACATTTTGTTTCATTCTCATGTCTAGGGCTGCAACTAACGATTATTTTGCAAATCCATTATTTTTCCAGATTAATCAATTAATAATTTTATAGCCAAAGGTTCCTTAAAGAAGACATTTAACCAAATTGAACCAAATGAAACTAAAATTTTTCCACTTAAGGAGTTCTGGATAGAGCATATTGACGGGCAAATATTTTTTTCCACCTTAAATGCAGTATATTTCATCTATCAATTCTGATATTGCGCTTATCCATCCATCTATCCTCCTTTATCGAATTTCTGGTTAATGCAGGTCGAAAATGAAAAGAATTTTTAAAATATTTACTATGAATTTATATTAAATGTATTTACAAACTGTCTGAAAATGTTTTAGTGATTTGCACGTGAAATGTGCCAGAATTCTATTTGCCTGCTTAATCTGGGGTTCTTGTGTTCATCAAGCATGCTCAGGCTCCAGAAGCGCCTGGCGTCCAGCGTCTTGCGCTGTGGCAAGAAGAAGGTGTGGCTGGATCCCAATGAAACCAATGAGATCGCCAATGCAAACTCTAGTGAGTTCAGAATCCAGTTGAAAACATCTGATGTCGTCGTTTATGCTACGCATGCCTTATTACCCCATGTTTTTGTTGCCCTGATTTTGTTCTGCAGGGCAGCAAATCCGAAAACTGGTGAAGGATGGCTTGATTATCAGGAAGCCAGTGACTGTTCACTCCCGTGCACGCTGCCGCAAGAATACTCTGGCACGCCGCAAGGGACGTCACATGGGTTACGGTGAGGAATTCTGTACTATCAAAATGTT